GATAGATAGATAGATAGATAGTTTCAGCAGAAGTGTCAGTCTGCTAAAGTCTGCGAGCTGACCGTGTCTGTGCTCCTCAGCTGTGCGTTTCGGCCGGATTCCCAAACGAGAGAAGCAGCGCATGCTGCTCGAGATGCAGAACGCCATGAACAACATGATGAACAACAGCCACGGCAGCCAGCCTCTGAGCAACCAGACGTCAGCCAGCGATGCAGCTTCAGAGCCTTCCTCCCGCTCCCCCTCCACCTCCCCCAGGAGCCACCGATCCGAATCCAGCCCTGACCCCGAGCTGCTGAGCGCCATGGATAAAAGCACCAGCTCAGACTCCTCCAGCGCCACTGACAGCGGGGAGGAGGAGGTCATCGGCACAGTGACTAGAGCGCACCAGGAGACCTTCATATACAATCAGGAGCAGGCCAGCGTGCCTTCAGAGGCCCCTAAAAACTACAGCCATTGCACAGAGAAGACTCAGGAGGTCTGGAACCAGCAGAACAATGCATCCTCAGAGAGCGAACAGAAGCCTCCATCAGATGGTGCTCCACAGGGGCCTGAAGACTCGGGCTGTCCTGTCAGACTGCCCAACAGTAGCCCCGCTGGACCGTCTCTGAGAAGTCACAACGACAGTGAGACCCAAGTCAACGGCAGCTGTAGTGTCCCAACATTTGCAAGGGTTAACGGGATGCACCTGGTGAGTTACACTACCAAAATAGCAATATACCACAATTCCAGTGGTCTGTAGAAATACTCACGATTCTCGTTCACAGGTTTGCCCCATGAACACATCGCCCTATGTGGATCCTCAGAAGTCGGGTCACAGTATTTGGGAGGAGTTCTCCATGAGCTTCACCCCAGCCGTCAGAGAGGTGGTGGAATTTGCAAAGCGCATCCCAGGATTCAAAGACCTGTCCCAGCATGACCAGGTCAGCCTGCTGAAGGCCGGCACCTTTGAGGTATGTCCAAATAAAACCCGGACTGAAATCACTCCTGTGAACTGACTGAATCCAGTTTAATTCCATTGGTTTCCTGTTTGGCCTGTAGGTGCTGGTGGTGCGCTTTACATCCCTGTTCAATGTGAAGGAGCGCACGGTCACATTTCTGAGCGGCCGGAAGTACAGTGTAGAGGCGCTGCGCTCGATGGGTGCTGGAGATCTCCTCAACTCAATGTTTGACTTCACCGAGAAGCTGCAAGCTCTGAACCTCAGTGAGGAGGAGATGAGCCTCTTCACAGCTGTAGTGCTGGTGTCTGCAGGTATTAACTGCTTCCTGTTGTGCCATGCGCATGCATGTGCCATGTTATGAGACCATACGAGAATGCCGTGACTTACTGTGTTAAATGAATTCCCCTGCTGTGTTTCCAATAGATCGCTCTGGTCTCGAGAACGTCAACTCGGTTGAGGCCCTTCAGGAAACTCTGATTCGAGCACTGCGCAGCTTGATCACCAAGAACCACCCCAACGAGATTGCCATCTTCACTAAACTGCTCCTCAAGCTGCCGGACCTGCGCTCGCTCAACAACATGCACTCTGAGCAGCTCTTGGCCTTCAAGGTCCACCCCTGAGCACCCATCTACCCTCATAACTGTGGACCACACCACCCCTCCCATCCATCTCCAGAGCCTCCAGGCCTGTTCCTGCGGCCCACTTATCCAATGGGGAGCTTGCTCTTACTCAATGCCCCTTCCCTGACACTTCTCCCCATGACATTCAAAGGACTGCTGGTTAAACATGGGATGGGATGGGATGGGGATGGGGGGGTTTCGTCGTACTGTAAAACGCCTCTGCTCGTGCTAACGCACACGACTCGCAGACACAAACTGGAGGGGTTTCGTTGTAGATGCTTACGAGAGTTTGTACGATTACGCGGTTTGTGTGCGTGCAGAGGCACCTTGAATTGGTTTCTAGATTAATACTGCCTGTGCAATAAGTGACACGTTCACTGTTTTTGGATTGTTCCTTGTTGGTCTTGAATGCCGTGTGTTGTTTAGGGGAGATTATGAAGGGATATTCCCACAAGCAAACGAGAAACGAAGTACACAGAGCACCGTTTGGAAGCAAAAACGAGAAGCGAAAAACAAAAAGCACCAACTAAGAAATGGAAGAATGTGGAACAAGCTGCTAATCGGAGCTTTCTGGCAGGAAGACACAGGATTGTTTAATGACTAGATCTATTTTTGTAGTTCGTTTTCTGTCTTCAAATCTGTAGTTAAGTGCAGAGGAAGCCGCTTTTAAGGCCTCAAACGTTATGTAAGCAAAAGCCTCTTGCTACACAAGCTCAGTTTTGTGGATGGTTGCGTTCCAAATACAAGTGGCATGCAGACAAACTGTCCTTTACAGTCAGTTTTCTCTTCCAGGTTAGCTACTGCCGTGATGGAGCAAGAGTTTGAAGAGAATCTTGCTGAGCAAGTCGAAGTTAGTCCAGCTGCCCACACATTTATATCTAGCTACCTGACTAATGACGCATTTGGCTTATTGGCACAGACATTTAAAGTTGACTGTTGCCCGCTTGAGTGTTTGTTTCCACCAATACTCAGTCAGACCGCAGGCTTGGCCAAGCATTTGTGTTCTTGCATAGAGTATGTTTCTGGTTTTAGATCTGCGTAATGGTGCATCTGTGTATATGTCCTGATTCGTAGGGCTTTCAGTGATGTGTGATGATGATGCTAAATGACTAAAGGAGAAGTAGATCATGCGTGTTTTATCACTGTAAGCATTGTGCATGCTAACCTAACCCTAACTGATGGGACACAAAGCCATCCACAGTGACGTCATAATGTCTGTATAGCTGACACCTGGCTGGTTTGATGCATCTGTATGGGTGATCATTTCAGACTGAATATTTATGATTTTTCGACTAATGGTTTGGGAGGAAACACTCCCCATCAAATAATTGTAATTCTGTTCATTTCTCTTTTTTAAATATTTTATTGTTCTTTCTGGGCAAGTCTGTTCAGTGGAAGTTCTTGTAGAATTATTGTGTCTGTGCTGCAGTAAACAAATAGTGCGCATACTCGAGCACCGTTGGACCAGACAGGAAGAGGAAACAGGAAACAGGAAATGGCCCAAAACGTACCACTGGCAATGCCTCTCATCATCACCCTGCCAGCTCTGGGCATCTGAACTCTTCTGGGGTCGGTTTTGATCTCAAAGCTGCTGTAGATGGATAGTCAAGCAAAGAAGTATCTTGAGTTCTGTTTGGTGTTTGGTGTTCCTGTCTAATTGTTCAGCCTGTGGCTCACTCAGCGTCATTGTTGTGTTGCCATGATCCAGTCTGTCACTTTTCCTCTGTGAAAGCATTGTAAGATAGCTAGATTTCTATATTATATGTATGTATATAAATATAATTCAATACATATGAAATAAGAAAATAAACAGATAAATGCTGAACTCATTTTTTCCATGCGTTTAGTCATTTTTGCATCCATGTGTCACAAGTGCGAATGTATAGACAAAAGCATCGAAGTCAAAAGGACAAACATACTATCATTTAAAGGAGACATATTATGCCCCTTTTTACAATATGTAATATAAGTCTCTGGTGTCCCCAGGATGTGTCTGAAGTTTCATCGGAATCTTTAGGATTTTTGTTTGTTTTTGAAAAGAAGACTCTTATGGTCACCAGGGCTGGATCCCAGTGGGCAAGTGATGATGAAAAGACATCAGAATGGATCAGAAACAGGTCTGATATGCAAACGACACTGATTTGATGTAAACTGAATGTCAGACTTATTGGCCTACATAAACATTAAACCAATTTCAGTGTGAGATTCACTTCCTGTTTTCACCTAATCACCACTGCAGTCCAAACTGAATTTAAAATGATGTTACAGCATATTGAACAAGTCTTGACTAATATTTGATGTCAAATTGATATCAAGGTGCCCGCAGGGATTTAATAGACTGTAAAAAAAATATTGTGAAATATTATTAGTTTAAAATTCTCTTTTCTTTTACAATATCATTTAAAATGTAATTTATTCCTGTGATGCACAGCTGTATTTTCAGCATCATTACTCCAGTCTTCAGTGTCACATGATCTTCAGAAATCAGTCTAATATGCTGCTCAAGAAACATTTCTGATTATTATCAATGTTGTTTTTGCTGCTTGATATTTTTGTAGAAACCGTGATACATTTTTTTTCTTTCAGGATTCGTTGAAGAGCAGCTTTTATTTGAACTAGAAATCTTCCGTAACATTATAAAAGGCTTTACTGTCACATTTGACCGTTTCAAAAGGGAACCCAAATTGTGCAGCACAAAACAATTAAAGTACCAGAAAGTATGGCATTACTATTGCTTAGAAATATACCATTGTGTTCTTTGAAGTACTCTGGAGTGCCACACCATTTTAATCAGTTTAGTATAAAAGTGTTTTACCATTTGACAGTGTTATGTTACAGATATAAAGACAGTATGGGCATTTGATGTCAAGTATTCTGCATTTAATCATATCAGATTCAAAATAAATATTTGATGCAAAGCCTAGGACAACATGCATTTCTCTATATAACAACTAATGAGGAAGAAAGAAATCTGCAGAAAGAACTCAACCTGAAAATGAAATAGAATATAATGGGTTTTGTACCAGGTATGTTTCATAGATATAAACATGAGGTACTTGCATATAGTACTTCTTGGGGCTTAAAGCAAGGATTCAGAAGACAACAATTTTGCTATTTTGATTTCAGAATTATTAGCAAAAATGTTCATTCATGTTCACAAACACATCATTCATATTCTCCATTGGCTGCCTATCCAATTTAAGATTCATTTTAAATGATCTTATTCGTGTGCAAACCCCTACATAACCTAATCTCAACTATTTAGCTGCGTCCTTATATCCCCCCTAAAGTCTAAGATTGAGAGACCAGAACACTCTAAAAAATGCTGGGTTAAATATAACCCAGTGCTGGGTTAAAAAGGGACAAACCCAGCGGTTGGGATGTTTTGAACCCAACCGCTGGGTCAAAACAACCCAATAGCTGGGTTTGTCCCTTTTTAACCCAGCATTTTTTAGAGTGAAGCTTCTTATAATCCCTGTCTCAGACTGAAACTCAGAGGGGATCCAGCTTTCTTTGTGGTTGGGTCTTTAGAGATCAGACTGGCACCTGTCGATTTAAAACGCACCTTTTCTCCTTGACAGTTAAAAAAAAACAAAAAACGTTTTTCTAGTTTCTCTAGTTGGATATTTATTGTGGATTTCGATTCAGTACTCTTAAATGTCTATAACTCATAATATATATGAACTTGAAAAGAGTTATGATCCAAGATGCAAACAGGGATTAAAGTGTTTCTGTCAGTTCATAAAGAGAGTCACTTGCTTCATTCCTGAATGATTCAGCCACTCGAACGAATCAATTGAATGAATGACTCAGTGATAAAATCAGTGACTTGCCGCCACCTGCTGATTTAGTTTCATTTTTAGCATATCATTTCAGTTATTTAAATCATATTTATGTATTCAAAATGTTATATTTAAAACATTAATCTCCACATGAATTTATGAATTAACTTTTTAATTTTTTAAAAAGCTTATAAACATACATTTTTGAATTTGACAGATGAAAATGATGCCATTACAAAGGTAAAAAGGAATCCAAAAATATTAAATGATTTAAATAACTGAAATTATAAGCTAAAAATGAAACTAAATCCGCCAGCAGGTGGTGACAAGCCACTGATTTTATCAATGAATCATTCATTCAATTGATTCGTTCGAACGGCTGATTCATTCAGGAATGAAGCA